AAGCAACCCGATGGGTTATTTCCAAGCGAATTTCATTAGTATGACGGATGGCAAAGTAGATTCGTTCAGAGTAGGAGTAGAACGATTGATTGGCTCAGTACACGTTCCGCAAAAAAATCACACCAAGAAGTGGAGCTCGTAAGGTGACATATAAGATTTGATATGGACTGATCGTCGTGTAGATAAGTGTAAAGTGCAGATGAATAAAACATTCCGCTTACATCTGACGTCGTTCGAGCATATATTCCAGGCAACTGGCCATCGCAAACGAGCATCCAAGACCACCGCCCCAACTGAAATCATGGGACATGGCGTAGTTGGCGAGATACCAGCTGAGAAGCGAAGAGAAAGATGAATGAAAATTCAATCTTATTCGTTTGAACAAATCCAAGAAGACATAGGCTGTATTAAGTCGACGTTCACAATATTAACCAGGTGTGATGTGCTGTTTTACACGAACAAATTCCCGTTTGGGTGCACCACTTACCCTGTTTGTTGCAATTGAAGGATAGCAATCATGCAGGGATCACGCGAAGTAAAACAGAGAATGAATCTTATGCTCTGTTCGAAATGGTTTGACCATACGTGGTTTGCAGTGGAGATTGAAAAAAACGAGACAACCAAAAGTGATTCAGAAGGTCATTCTTACACCAGAAGACTGCAACACTTGACCGCAACCTCACAAAATCATACCAGACGTTGCTCATTCAGAGTAAAAGCTACCTGCATTAAATAAGCATAAGTGTCAGGTTAATCCTGTAGCCAGTGCTATGTATTCAACGACCCGATACACAGATCCATCAAGATATAAAGAAAAACCCTTCAGTAGGAAACGATTACACTTTCCTTAAAAGCAAAGCCTTCGTTATACAGATACTGTTAGGAATCAAACCGAAACGGTGAAATGCTGATTGGTACAATCACTTCACTGGGAATAAGTGCGTTAAACGAGTGTTGGACAGTATAAGCCTGAGTAGTACTATTTTCCTATGGATCAATAATTTTGACACGTTTACACTCGAACCCAACTGATCTAGTTGCGAAAACTTTTGAAAACGGAAAAAATGACATTAGTTACATCGTCTGAATGACCAAAGTGGCCTTTGAAGAGAAAACTACTGAAAAGAAAATGACAGCTGAAATACAGTCCGTGTTGAATTAGAATCTGAGTGAAGGAATCCTCCTTGAAATTTAAAAACGATAATTCACTAATATGCAACTCTAAGTGAAACCAATAAACTAAAAGTCAACGAGACGACCATTCATCCGTGACAGTATCCCATAATGTATCTACTGAGGTTTTCAAGTTCCGCTGAGATTATGTAGAAACCTGTATGGGTTGTTGACAGAGTTTCTCTTCCCACACAGAGATAGAAACGTGGTTGTTTTGTGAAATATTGGGAATCAACTTTCTACTACTCTCAATAAAATCATTTCGCCCGGAATTCTTTCCATAAGCGCGATCTTCACTTCATTTCCAAAGTGATCACTACGTGGTCATATAAAATCACGGAAGGTAATTTTGCTGAACTCTCAACAAGTTATTCGTTAAATGGCTTCGTTCAACACGTGACGCCATCAGGCATTCACGGCGGACTCAACGGTTCCCAACACTTTGCTGCACTGTGAATCTCACCAATCCCGTCCCACTAGAGTTGTCCACATGGGGACAACGATATAACAGCGACATAATGATAGATAGCCATTCAGCTACATTGGCTTTTGGATGCCTAGCTGCCATGCCAGCCGAAGTAAGCACGAGAGGTGAGATACTATAAGACTGCCCAAACCTGGACAGGAGAAGTCGAGATGCCAGGGTTGGGTCCGAACCGAAGACCACCCGGTTCGCGCCCTTACCAAATGAGCTACCTCGGTAGTTTGACCTCTCATGGGAGCTGACCCTTTTCCGTTGGAGTGACTTATTGACCGACGGTAGGTGTTCTTGCGGTCCCTCCTGGGGAGAAGTCTTTTTGTAGGCGTTGCTGCATTGGCTATTCTAAAGGCATCAACAGAAACGATACAGATGGTCTGCTCAGATGAGTGTACATCAAGAAACCTCGGCGAGTTTTTTTTCTGACGGAATCTTTACCAGGTTTATCACTCCAAGCAAGCGAATGCTGACAAAAGCGACTCCGGTTCTGCTTTCGAAAGTTTCCCGAAATTCTCCAACCTCGATTATCTGACAAACTGCTATTTCCATAGGTGGGTAGCCATTGTTTACCTATGCTTCTCACAACCTCATACAGAAACACCCTCAATAATTGCTCCTTCGAACGGAGGCGACGTTCCTGGAGGATCCGAAACTGTTTCCTAGCCACATAATGGCTGCCCTTGAAGATTTACTCCAACTCTACCATTTTCCACACCAAAAGGATTACAGTCACATATTTTTAGTTGAGCCGTTCGATCATGTAACCAGTAAACCAGAAGATCAACCACATCGATCAGATTTAAAGGACTTGCTTGGAAACGCTCCACTGTCCCGCCCTATGAACTTGAAACGGAAAACACCAAGTTGACTAGAACAGAGTTGTCTGAGAAAACCAGTCAGGTAAGCCGATCAGCGAACTACCTTTATGTGCACGACAATGAATTGAGGGCATGGCTGAGCTTGAATAAATTTGTTTTCAATAAAGGGTTCAAAAGTCCGCCCGTTTTCAGTGTAAAATCCGAATTCAAACCAAAGTAAATTGCTCTGACTACGCAATACTCAATGTTTCCTGTAGATGCAAGGAAAGTGGACAGAACAAGGTCAACCAATAGTAGCTTTTATACGCACAGTGTGCTCTAGTTGTTCAATTAATTGGCAACGCGCTGTATTTTTATTCCTAATCGCACACGACTATCCATTAATGAGTTATTACTCACTACAAGTGATCTATTATGCGAATCTACTACCATGTGAGAGATTTCAATGGTTGCATTCAGCTTTCTATAGCATGATCGAAAACTACCAGTAATGCTCATTCCATTTTAGAACAAAAGATTGTGGATGAGCTCGTTTTCGGCTTGTCAGTATAATCTCAAATATCGCATCCTGTTTAGTCAGTAGTCGAGGCGATAAAAAGGAATATATTAGCGATCTTATTTCCTGGTATTTGTATCCGGACTAGTGATGAGCTTTTATCATTTTAGTAGCTTCTACGCGGACTTATCATACCACTTTAAACTTCGATTAATACGGGTGAAACACTCCTCGTACAGGAGAAAAACTATTTTCAGAGTACGGAATGCTTTTCCACTACAACTCCAATTCACCAAAATAAACCGTCCACAATTCACGATGATGTAGTTTTCGGTTCTGTGAATGACTGATTTACTCCCGAAGCGGGGACATAGTACAATACAAATACCATGCGCCATTGACCCATATTAGCGTAGTCGACCAATGTCAGTATCATTCCTGAAGTAGTATTGCACCATATAAACCAAGTCTGGAGTGAACTTGGTTTGCTCGTTAAGTTGGCACACAACGCTACTTGCTGAAACAGTTGCAATACTGAATCACGGCAACAGAACCACATGGAGAAAGGAACGACAACCTTGTTTGTCGAATGTTCCAAACCCATCAATCACACTGTCACAACGAATACACCAAGGTAAAAAAAAGCTTGGTTCGTGGTTATTATTCAGGTTTAGCTAAGTAGCAAGAAGCCATAAGTTGGTAACGACAGAGACCGCATGCACCAGCGACTATGGCACCGAACTATTTACGGATCTCAAGAGCCATTGAATATCTGGTATTTTCACTTCAGATAAAGTACACGAAGCCGCCGTTCGATTACAGTGGCTGTTCCAAAGGCCTGGATATTATAATGTCTTAAACCCGATGCAAAACGCGTGCGATATGGTCCCCGTTAGTCTCATGAGGAAGCACCCTCGCTAAAGGCAACAACCAGGCATCCCTCGAAGCTACTTCCATGAAAAATGGTGCTGAATAGCCTAGAGTAAACAAAATTATCATCACCACCATCAGTATATGACATCGACGTTCCACGGCTGTGCAATAACTTTGACTGTTCAAGGAAACCCTGAGGTAAAAGGAGACCAAAATCGGAAGTGGATAGGATGAAGTGTTAGTCTAGCCAACAAATCCGAAAACCTTACAAAAACCTAATCAGAATAAAAAGCCGCAGCAGAAATTCCATGTCGGTTGGTTGGTAGCAGTGTCCCCTATAAGCATTAGAGGAATCACGCGGACCCTTTTTCAGACCGCAAGCAGCACCAACAGAACAAAATTTCTTCGCTATCGTGTATACACTGATTGGCCGATCAACAGTGTCGAACACGAGATTCCGGGAGTCTTATGAGTAAGCGACTGTCCCGGTATCTGATGGAGTGTGAAGATATGATCAATGTGTGCTCCATTATGTCTGATTCCAGTCTGCATCAATCAGCACGAGACTTTGAGTGCTGTCGCAAGGCGAAGAGGTGACTTCAGAATTATCATTATAACAGGAGTTAAGCTGGCATCTATGCGGTTGCTGCACTCAATTCCATCAACCCGATTTAGGAAACGGTACGGCTGCTGTCTTATTGAGTTGGGATGAACCCGATGCCCCAGACAGGGCAGGCATGCAGTGGCTAAAGAGTTCGCCTTCAACGCTGCACAGAGTTGGTTACAGGTCATCAGGACCAGATCTGTGACATTTGAGAGAAGATACACGCGTATATCTCTGAAACCGAAAATTCAGCTCGTGATTCAGTTCTGTATTGCCGGGAGGCGGTTGGAGTGAAGAGGAACAGGTGGACGATCACCTGGACCAGTCATCAGGCATTTACAGCGTTGCGTGCTCCTTCAAATGCCTAGGCCGCTCGGGTCCATCAGGCTTCTCGATAGACCACCGCTCTTAGCCTCGCCTGACACCTGAGAACCAGTCGTTTTTAACTGTCTACAGGACCAGCAGGCATCTGTTTGTGAGTTGAATATTTGACTGAATGCCAAATGGTCACGATGAAATCGGTTAAAACAGAAGTTGGACGAGAATCCATAATTTTTTGGCCGTAGAGATCTCTGTTGCAACGATATTCCGCCAGCTTCACGATTTATTAGATCAGGATGTTTTAAAATTATTAGCAGAAAGTATTGCATATGCTTGGACCGTAAAAGTCGTTCATACTTTTTATGCTTACAACCCGTCCATCCATAAATCAAAGATAACAAATGACATGCGCATGAAGAACTCGGGAGGCATATTTTTACTGCCTGCTACGGTGATAAAGTTCAAGTAGGGATGATGTATATCACGCCGTTATTTGGGACATGACGACTAGTTAGACTGGAGAAAAACTCCATGGTGTCCCCATGACGAAGGCACCTGGGGATTGTGCGGAACAGTTCTCCGAAATTCGGGAGGGTCGCTTCTCGAGAGGACACAAGCAAGTATGTTTTTTTCAGACTCCATCAGATTTGTATGAAGTGTATAATCAGACCTTTTCAAACGCCAGATTCTGGTGACCTGGGAGCCATCCTTCTGACCCGATTTCAATCGCCCCAATGGTCACATGGAATGGCGGGTTAATGGAATCCTTATCCAGCAACCCCGTTGTAATCTCTAGTTCGTCAGAACGGTAAATTCAGGTCCTCCGACGTTTTACTATTCACCGGCGCAGAGGAACCACCAAGCTGTCATACATTTATCAACAATAGTTCAATCTATCTTGACCATCAGCAAACCAGCTTGCTTATCCTCGGAACGGCGCATGTTGCAGGGACAAACCGAACTACGATATTGCATACTACTTTATTTGACAGTTTTCTCGTTTTTGAAACGAGTATCAAATCGATTAGATAAGCCACAGGAATCCAACTCTTTCGTCCTAGTTAATGGTCGTGTAAATAGAATATATATCCTCCACAGGACAGTCATATTGCGCAAACGGTTAAAGGGAGGTTAGTTCCAAGCTAAACATGGAAATCCGTTTACACAATGCCGGCTCTTATATTCTGATCAGAATAGTGTTACTGAACGCAGAGAGACTCAAGTTCGGATTGTTTCGTGAGGTCGAAAGTAAACTGCACGAGCCACGTAAGTGACCTGATTCCAATCCATGTTTTGTTGTTGGTGTCTCCAAAGATTATGCGATGGTTCGATCGTAATACCAAATCGCATTTTAGGAATACAGATAAAAGATAACTCTATGTGATCTCCTTTGAGTATTCGTAAACTTGTACCTAAGACTTCCAATTCATAAAACTCAACTTGTAAAGTTGAAAGTCCTGCGTCCCAAATATTTGTGACATCAATCCTAACAAACGATAAATTTCGTCAGTGTGCAGCCGTTGTCAGTTTGACATTCAACAAAGTGTTCAAATAACTGACTTAGAACTGATGAAATAGGAAACGACGGAACGAGTGAGTGAACCATTCATCGTAATCGGCGTGGTTATTCATCCCAGTACACAGAATATATGGATGCGAAGAGAAAAAAGTGCGAAACGTTTTCGCAACTTCACAAACATCGAGTTCTCACACGATGCATAGTCCTAATTGCCGACTCCGTACTTCAACTAGAAGGAACGATGAAGCTCTCAAATAAACTGAGACACTTTTAGAAGGGTTTACAACTGTCAGAGGACGGTGGTAATGACTGATTTTTGCGTCATTACCGCCTCGTAAATCTCATTAAGTGACGAAGATGTATGGTATTCCCTCTGGTGCTAAATCAGCCATTTCGGGAACAATCAAGCGATTCCCATCCTGTTCAGCGGAATTTATCACTTCGACATCGAATGCAGTGGAAAAAAGTGCTATGTTGTAAGATTTTCCCCTTGAGAAGCCTGTTTCCTCTACGGGGATTTTTTTATAGGAAAAGTGTACGAACTGCATCGCTGCGGAAAAGCAGGGCAGGTAAAAACCGCTTGACTAGTTCCCGAAAGAATAAACACCGTGTGCGTTTATAATCATGTAGAGAAACTGTACGAACGTTGGAAACCACGAAATTAGCGCTCATCGGTTTCTGTGGTTTAGCCAGTCATCCACAGGCTGCGCACTGGTTGTTCAACGAATCGGACGGCTACAGCTAACCAGCTGCAGCCGCGTGTCATGTTGAGTGGTACTGGCGGGACAAACATGCACCAATGCCTTAACTATCGGCTTGAATTTCATTGTTTAAAACCAGTGAGGATTTTGGTGAAACACGTTCATTTACAAAAACGGGATTGATATTACGGTATTTCCTTGTCACGACTGTGCTCCCAAGAAACTGCAGTACATCGACAAAACAGGAACAACTTAAAAACTTCCACAGCAGCATTACAAGCGGACAGGCCATGTCTCGCGGAACATATTTAAACTTACCCCGTATCTTCCATCATGGCTAACGTGATGGGCGAAACACGGTAGGAATTCGTATAGGTGGCTGTCATCAGTTCATTCTAGGGGATAAGGCGAGGAGACGGAGCATTATCAGATCACTTGGCTGAGTAAGTGAGAATAAATATACCGACGCAGAAAATAAGGCCACAACTCAATGAGTCGGGACAAGCAGATTGCCGAGTGGGTTAACATCACTAGTGCATCGTAGGGTACAACAACTCCTAAGGGGATGCACTGAGAATAACCCCCAATTGGTGATAAGATGCCTCAAATAAAAACACCGAGCTCATTAGACAATTCAGCCGCCACAACGGCAGTGACCGAAATTTCGGATCGGCAGGACATATAAAAAGTGCTGCGACGCACACTAAATTATACAAAAATGTGGACTTGGTGGCCAAGAAAATTCATTCTGTCTGTGATCCTTTCATCAGCACTGGTTTTCAAGTACAAACCGCTTTAAAAATGTTCGGCTCTTACAAGGCTCCAAGGCCCTCACATATAACTTATTATAATATTCATGAAAAGCAACTTCCCAGAGAGTAACAATCCTCCGTGAAGAAACGAATTTAAAAAAAACAAACAAATATATACCATGAGCTAGCCATCCGCTGAGGAAACCACCCCCGAAACGTAAAAATGAATCTAATCGATCATAGACTCTGAACGGTTATGGTTGTCCTGTATGGAAGGATGTCAGAGCTAAAGGGTGAAGGCGATACCTCTGATGCGAGACATTTATTGACTGTGTGGCAGCCACATCCGCCGAGTTTACTAACCAGTAGTTTGTCCCGTCCGGCGGTCCCCATCCACGAAGATGGCAGACACCAAGCTGGTTAGTCAGGATTTTTGTGCCTTACACTAACAGGCAAGAGATCCTCTGGTATATGCAGTACGTGGCCTAACCGATGTAATCTGTAGAGTGTGACCACCTGATCTACCGAGGGAGAGTGACCGTTCCCTAAGACTATCCAGTGTAATCATCATTGATCTAATGCTCCCACCAGACCGTCGTAATGCTCTGGAGGCACCGATGGTCAAAGAAAGCCCTCAAAGTTCTACACGCAGCGGCCACGTCTTTGATCCATAAAGGAGGAGAGACCGAACCGCGGCATCATACACCTTACCATTGAAAGTAAAGTTGATGTTACGTGGGGCGCCACATAAATTGGTTAGTGAACGGTGACCCAATCTTCCCAATTAGGGAAGTGATTTCACTTTTCACCAATCCACCTAGATTGCGCAGCTGGGCGACTGAAGTCACCCTTTCTTGACTTCACTGGATTCGGTGAACTCACGAGGGCATTTACCGTAGGCACGTATGAGTTCATGGTAGGACGCAGATGGGGCGCAGCTCCAACACTTGTCGCAAAGTGAAGGTATACTCGAGCACAACGAAGCCTCCTGACAATGGGTAAACTCGCGGAGGATAATACAAGACGACACCTCGAAAGCACTGGCCACTAGACTGATACCACTGTGGCTTTCACACGATGTTCCTGTGTCGTTTTCGAAATGTAGGAATCACCGTTGAGACACCCTATTCTGACGGTATTCTTTCTTCTCTTCAGATTCTTTGGAGTAAAGTAATCAGGACAACCAAGATGGACTCACCACCGTCTTTTAGGGATGCAGGATGCTAATCATCTGCGCCAGGTGTTTTGTTGAGTTGAAGCGATAAAATTGTACACTGAAATTCTGTTGCTGATTGTGGACTGGTGTCGAGGTTCGACTAGGGTTCATTTGGTCCTTGAAGAGGTTGGGTTGACGTGGACCAGGTGAAATGTTCTTCAAAGTGTTCAGTCCGTCGACCACGATGACATCTTTGTGAATAGACTTGAGCTCCATCAGCTTGATCGTTTCAATACGATTCAAGCTCCTCAGACCAGTTGACCGGATAAACTTAAATAGGGGGCGGTTTTTTCATCTCCATTTTCCGGGCTTTTTGGGATCTTCTAGCAACCTTTGTTAATCCTTATGCTACTCATTATTCCGTGGTTGAGAGATCTGCGCGCGCCATTGCAGTCATCTCCTGGCCTCAGTCACAGCTGCTGACCGCGACGAGATCCAGTGTTAATTACGGTGTGGGAGTGAACTCGGGCAAACGATTTCAAAATCCATGATTACTATCTCTTTCACCCTTATCCAGTCGGCATCCAAATGACCATTGTACCCATCGAGTTCTGGAAGCTTCGCAGCTCCATATTAGTAAGAAAAACAGATGCCTTGCAGGTAGTGAACTGAATGGCCGTGGTGTACGAACGACAATGAACAATGATGAACCAATGAACGACAATCTTGTATAGAAGCCCTCCACTGGTAACGGATTGTCGTATGGTCCAGATGAATCCACGACTGTTTTTGCATTGGTGGCCTCCATGTCATACAACGTGAATACTTGTGATGAATGTTTGCACTCGCTGTAACCAAATGATGTTCTGCACATAATTGAAAACGTCATTCCCCATTATCTGTGAGACAGGAGCCAACTTCGAATCGGCCGCCAAGATAGGCTTCCTCAGGACTTAATCGGCCAGGCTGAACACTCATATCACCCACCAGAATCACGATATCTTCACTTCTGGCTGACCACAGTAGCCATGATAAATCTTCATAGAAGCTGTATTTCTCAGTCCCAGAGCTGCCTTCAGTCGGAGCGTATGTTGACAGAACAAACACCTTTTACCACATCGAGACGCATTGGTCTTGATTAGACCAGACAACCTAACAACGCAAAGATGATCATTTAATGGAATCCAGTTCAATACAGCACATTCAGCCGAGGGGTCGAACAATTTCCCACACCGTTGCTCCCACAAACCATTGCATCAAGATCACCAGACAACCCAACAGTAAAGTGCGATACATCCGGGTTGGTGCCGGGGAGACATAACATACATCCACCGGGAGAACAAGGTCTGAGGAAGAGCTACCTGTCACCCAATTTGACACAGAGTATGTCCGATAAAAGCCGTAATATGAAACAGATCCCTAGGATTTAACGAGGTTCATTTTGATTTATTTTACCGAGCAGAAACTTAGATGCGGTGCAAATGTTACAGTTAAATGGATTATAAATTGAGTGAGAGATGTTTGGGGACGAGCCAGTGAATGAAGAACAGCCCAGGCTGAAACGCGGAGTTCGGTTGAGGTACTCCAAAAGTTTGACCCATAAGGCAGTGGGAGAATGTGGGGTTTTGCCCAGGGACCCTGCCCCTAAAATTTGACCCGCGAGGACGCGGGGTTTTCTTTGGAAGACCATGTCGGGGGCGACGAATCAATAATCTGACTTCCTCAGCTGAAGGCAACTTAGCCCAAGAGGGGGAGTGAGGCATTACTGTCTGGCTCTGATGCGGCATCAATAATCTGACTTCCTCAGCTGAAGGCAACTTAGCCCAAGAGGGGGAGTGAGGCATTACTGTCTGGCTCCTGATGCGGCTGCGCACAAAAGGTGCCTTTTGAGCACCACCAGACTCTTTGGTTTAAAAAGCATTTCGACCGTGTTGAGTAATCCGCCGGCAGTCACGGTCAACCGTTGGGCTACCGGAGTGTGCGGTTTTTGGGGCCAACCATTTCTAACCCGTCCCTCTTCGGGGGAAGGCGGAGTTGCAGCTCGCATATTCCATATTCCACACAGAAGACCATTGTGTGTAATTTTGAAAAGGAGTTGTTGGTCCTCAGATCACCAATCGGCTGCATATATGAGCTAGGTGCGACCTTGTAACTCTAGTATAGTTGACGAAACGCGCAGATTTTGTGAGGGAGGGAGGTGTCTAAGGGTAGGTGTATACTTGGGTTGAGTGAGACTTCGACAAGGTGATTCCGTTGGTGCGAGCTTTGCTTGATTCTCACGGCTGATAACTTGTGATTATTTAACCAGTCATCTACAAACAATAAATCAGCAATGCATACTAACCGTGGGAAAAAAGATCCAATCGAAATTTCAACGGAACTCTCGTTCGTGGATTTCCAAACAGCTCAAAGATTTTATCGGGATACGATCGGGCCGACATTGAAGTATTAAAGCCCCAAGGAAGATTAATACTGTGGATATTGAAAAAGCGCCCGAAAAGCCAACCTAAGTTGGATTCCCCCAAGTCCCTTTGGACAAGCAGTAACCCCCCCAGCAAGCAATGAAATAAGAGACCCACAAAGGTTTTGATTTCTGGGGGGAGCATATATCTTGAGGCAGAATTGGCGAACTAAGTGAGGCTGCGCTAGACTGGAAACGACCGGAGGCTTGCTCATCAACGTCAAAACTTCAGATTAGAGTTCACTGCAAAGTTGTATGGCTTACTAGAAAAAGGTCTCTAAACGCAAGCAAGCTTGAGATCGCGTGTGGTGCGACAACAATATAAAAGCAAAAAAATCATTGGGTTCGTAATGCACAGACTGGAGCTCAGTATCTATCCGCCAACTACGATAGATACTCAAATGAGTCTCCATCACGGACACCAACGCTCCTCTTTCGTAAATAAAATACCGCATCAGAAGGATGGGATGAGAAGCGTCGAGACGAAAAGCTGAATTCCGGTAGGCTGAACTTTGTTCTGGCCCGTAGTTAGTTGGACATATAGTCGTCCAACGGATGCTGCATTCGGTTATTCCGAGCGGCCGACCTATGACGGTCATGAAAATGAATGCGCTGCTACACTGAAGCCTTCATTTCCAACGAATGAGTGCCCCAAACTACTCCGATAACGCTTGAAACTGACTAAAAATGGATCCTTTCGGAAAATTTTGAACAACTATCGGGGAACGTTTCGCTTTCCACCTAAAAGCCTCGTCAGTCCAATTGACCAAGCTACAGGATCGGTCGGGTTTTCTGACAGGCAACTAATCAGAAACAGGTGTCAGCTACAAATTTTTGGCAGGGTCGCGAGCAAATGTACCGACTAAAGTGCTGAGGACAGTCTTACATAAATTTGAGAAGGGTTTGGGCGTTAAAACAATTCAGCTAAACATAATTGAGAGCGATTGACATTTTTGTTGGTTTGTGGAGCAGTCAACGGTGCAATTGTTCAGTTTGAGCAGGCGGAGTACCTGGAATTCAGATGGGTAGCTTCGTACTTTAGATCTAAACCACACATGCTAAGGACTCTTGACTAACAACCTCTAACCATCACGTGTCAAACAGACTGATTTGAAGTCACTCTCCACATGTTCGACGACTCTATTCTATATACGCAGGGAAGCTTGGAAATTTTGGAAATTTGGAAATTTTCCTCACCTCGACCATCTTCCTAAGTAGTATACATCGTACACATGAAAACTTTCCAATTTTTCTAACTCTAGTTTATGTCCACTGCACAGTGCATGTCCGGTAATCGCCGAGTCCTTGACCAAAGCCTGTTATTTACGTGCATTCCACTCTCCTCTTATATTCACCAATTCCGGATTATATTTCTTTGCCTGTATGTCCCATCTTAACTTTCCGGAAGTCATCACATTCAATTTTATACACGCGACTAGTGGTACTTTTAACCGGAAGGCCGTCCCCCAATAGTGAGCATTGAATGTCATTCCGGAGCGTTACTAATATGTTGGCTCTGTTAGCATCCACCGAATACTCTCAGATTTTCCAGCTTTGTTTGAAATCTGCTGCTGATCCGCTTCCTACAGAGTCCCGATACCGAACCCAATCTCCTCTGTACATATCAATGAGACAATAACTGCGTATGCTCTCTTGGGTAGGGCCGATGATTGGCCAAAGATGAAATCTGCCTGTTAGCTTCTCGTAAATGGTACTTTTTACTTTCTAATCACACTTAAGTATCACAGTCCAGAGAGTGTATTAGGCCACAGATAGACTATAGACATGCTGAGCTTTATACAGGAATTCCAATTACTGACACGCTCATAGCAGGCCCCATCAGGCTTGATAACGACGAATCACATTTGCATGACGATAAAAACTCTCGGTAGAGAATCATACCCAGTCAAAACCTTCCGTCCGAAGTTATTCAATGAGTGAAAACCCTGGGATTACTTAGAAGAACCTGTCCTTGAGATTAAACAACCGAGTCGAAAACAGTTATCCCACTATACCCATGTTTTAGTGCCCTTAACTATCTCGCGCAATCAAAGTTGTATTCATTCTTGCAGTGTTACTTTTACCAGAAACAGTCGCCCCGCTACTTCCGAAGCGTCCGCCTTAGGAAGGATCGCGCACACCAAGATGGCATTAGAAATCCGTCTATCTCCAAAGGACAAAAAATCGTACGGATTCATATTTTATGTGCTGCTGAAAAGATTGGTTATCTCGCGTGGTAGAGAACTGCTGGTTTTATCAGGATACCTGCTTTAACGACCGGTGAAGTTGTAATTGAGTTGCGCTATTTAGTATACAACCAACAGCAGTTGCTTTGCCGCAAATGGTTTATCATAGGGCTTAAACATCCACCCATTCCAACCTCACTCTTATTATCGACATAACATTGCAACCATTAGTTTGTCGGTATGTGCTTTAGAAACTTATACAGGTAATCGCTTGCATTCACACGACGGCTGTGGCATCACCCTTATTCAACTTTATAACCATTGTATCATTCAACTGTCATAGGCCTTTTAACGATCCCCGCTTTTACGGGGATTTCCTGACAGTTGCAACCTTAGAACCGTGAACAAGTGCATTCGCAGCTTTTCCACTCCTGTTAAATATTCCGAATTCGAGATAAGTTCCCACACACTTAACATAGTTTCGTTCAGTGTAAGATTCAGCCCTTTATTGACAAATCTAGTCCTTTGTTTGACAACTGCGTCAAATTTTCACCTTTTTCTGGAAAACTAAATCATTAAAAGCAATTTCTTTAGCATCCATATCTTTCTATGCTTGCACTATTGACCCCCGATAAATTCCACCTCCGCAACTTCAGTGTGGAGTATTTAGAAATCTGCGATTGCTCTGGAAAATCCTTGAAACTGATCGAGAAGTCATTGTTTCATATGTACTTGGCAGATAATCGGTAGATTTAGTCAGGTAACGGTGCGCAGTTGTCAGTCAAGAATAGTCATTAGCCGACTGAAGCTGAAACCGATCGAATTTCAGGCACTCTCCGCCTACCCAATTAAGTACTCCGAACCTAAGGAAATAAACATCGAAATCGTTCAAAATTCAACACCATTCGCATGCCGATCGAAACACTTGCTTACCCACACTGACCAACGAAACCTTCTGAACGGCACGCAACAGTGATTCAGCCTTCTATTAGAAAAAGATCTTTCTGATCTGTTTTTGGTGTCTGGAAACCCGACCAACCCTGTAACTTAATCACTTAGGTTGACGAAGCTTTTGTATCAAAAGCGAAACATTAGCTACTACTAAATAGACCGATCGTTTCTCATGTTCGTGAAAAAATATATATGAAACCAAATTCTTCGAATCCACAGCAAGGTGTTCTTTCACCAACTTCATATCTGTATTACTGGTTATAGTGATTAGCCATCCCACTATCAGCCTATCGTCAGCAGTTAAACTGTATCAACGGAGAGCACGGTTGTTGATTTATTCCGCCACTACCGCTACAAATTGAAATCGGTTAGCAGAATCGGCTAATCGAAGCTTCAGGAAAAGTCACTAAGTACTGGCAAATAAATGATTCAACAATATCTTGAATGTAAGTACAACAGAATCCCGGGCTGGCACGATCAAAGGACATCATAAACGAGAGGAATCTGTTCATGAGGTGCATAAAAACAATTTCAGACTAAGCGAACATCTTTGGAGACCAACTAAGTCGTACTAATGAGGCTATATATACGAATGCAATGACCCCGTAGCGCCATCAAAAAAAGACAAGACGTAATGAAACAAAGTGCCTACTAGCCAAAGTATTCAAAGACATTTAGTAATAACTTAGTTTCTCGAAGTTAGATGAAAATGAAAAACCACAAAAGGAGGAGAAAGTATATAACACGCTCTCACCAGCAAACCATACCTCAAGCAGTCGCTTTTCCCAATGTGTCAGGAACACTCCCACTTCATCCTGGTCCTCCAGCTCCACCCCATCCAAAGTAGGACAGTTGAAAAACTTGCGAGCAACTTGCTGTAAAAGGGGAAGAAAAAGTGAACTGAATTATACTCAGGAGAATTAAGTGGTAGCAAACCAATATTGATAAAAATGGGAAGTTTAACAATGAAGACAAACGGCTGGGATCCAAACAGGTGGCGAAAAAATGGAATTCCAGAGGCACTGGTTAGAATAAGAGTATGCCAAGGGCGAAAAGAACAAAACTATCCGAAAGGCTGATAAAAATTGGCATCAAACACAAGCCAGTGAGTTCAACAGAACGCAAAAAACAAACAAGTTACGCTTACACTAGAGAGAAGTCGCCCTATTCGTTTGAGAAAAAACTACCTCCCCGTCAAAATATTATTGAAATCAAAGATTCTTGCAACCGTCCTCTTGGGACCCATAAATTTTGCTTACGTTTTTGGGCTCCATCAGGAAACGTGGAAAAAAACACCCATGGTCAAGGTAGCAGGGCAGTTGAGTAATTGAGGCCGCATGCATTATTGATAATCTGAATGAAGAGCAGTCAAGCATAAACGGACGTATGTACTGAACGCATAAAGTTCCCGTTGTCTGCAAAAAGCACGCGTTCATTACGTATGAGTGAAAGGTACCGTGACAAAAGCTGCAAATAGTGAAATTCAAAGCGATGCCTCATCAAGAAACGGACGAAAATCAGGGCCACCGTGCAACTTTCCACTGGCACTTCATATAGACGGAGGAAACGTGGGTTTTGTTAATTGGAATAGAGCTGTCCCACAAAGTCAACCAGTTGATCGAAGTTAATGCCATCCATTGGCCACATTACCTGACTCAGTTCTCAAATTTGTAAAACAGAATCCTAAACTTAGACACATCTCTGACCCATGACTATGTGAGTATCCAGACTACAACTGCCAACTTTAGTCGTGTGTAGGTCGGATACATGACAACAGTGTTTCAATACATCTATCTGATTCAGTGCATCTAGATGCTTTCGTCAAGCCTTAAAATTCCCAACGTAAATTCGTTTTTGTCCTACGGTCGCATAACTTACACATTGAGATAGGTATTGTGCAGACAGCTCATTTGGCGGTTCATCCCAAGTCAATAAGAGAAGGCTCGACAAACAGACAACTCGGGAAACGGACGTCATCTAGTAATCGTCCCTATCAGCAGGTCATCCGGTGGACTGACAATTCAGACATTCCTAGGCCAGTGATTTCTACTTGGGCAGACGGCTCTTTTGGCGGTCCAGCCCAAGTCAATAAGAGAAGGCTCGACAAACAGACAACTCGGGAAACGGACGTCATCTAGTAATCGTCCCTATCAGCAGGTCATCCGGTGGACTGACAATTCAGACATTCCTAGGCCAGTGATTTCTACTGAAAATCATGTCTACTAGTTGAACGCCTGCTCATCAACATCACCAAAATTCCAGAAATTGCTTGGTAGTCTGAAACGGGGGCTCCTTGAGTTGAAAAGTATTCTGCCGAAGTCCCTTTACATTCGATGGAGAGTTTATTCAAAGTACCATCCCAATCCTCGATAGAATTCAGGATCTGAGTGCTCATTCCGACCTTTTTATCCGAAGTTTTTGGTTTTACCAAGCAGAATGGGGAACCAACTCACATACGCAAAGCACTATCACGCCAGTAATCGATTTAATAAGGCCGCCTAGGTTATACCCGTGGAAGCGACGAGTAAACTCGCAAGCAGTCACGTGAAGGGAAACAAAGCAGCTGTTCCATTTAGGTCCCAAAACCAGTAACTACGCACTAGGCAGGGATGTTGTCATTGGAGTTTGAATTGATGAAACTCGGAACATTGGCTCCCAACGGAAGTACGTAGACCTAACCATCGTGTAGACTTGTGTGAACGAACCTGATAATCGGGGTCTGTTGAATGAATCATCGAAAACGGAACTAAAACTACATTTGAAAAGTAATAAGTCTATGTCAATCGAGATCACTCACTTAATGACCGAATCTGCTAAGTTATCATACAATTTAAGAAAACAATGGGTGAATATATTTTAGAGTCCTGTTTTTAACACTTACTACACCAACCCGTGTGTAGTTTTAGTAATAACTAACTATGTTGGCTACCTAAGCACGACCGCCTGTATATGTCCCCGTCACTCAGTCAGTCTTAATAAATCAATGGATGCCATGCGACTATCTCGTCTACTTAAAGATTGTCTACCACATACAGCATCTGGTTCGTCCCTCAGATTCATTAGCTGAATAACGGTAGAAGATAGTTTTTGCAGGACCGAAATATTTCGGTGCTCCTGCCAATCCTAATATGCGTCACACATACAACGGGTAAACAAATATGCCAATCGATATCAGAAATCAAAAGTTCTAATTCTGACCCGTTTAGTAAACTTTGTTTTTAAAAAGGCTTGAAACACATGTTGCATCATCGTGGCACACGTGACTTGATTGTATGACAGTGCGCGCTTACGTTAGAATGTAAACTTGGAACTTCAGGTTTCGATTTTACCATCCGTTTGTTCTTTAGTTACTTGACTTTCAGTGCGTTCGAAAATTAATGAGCGGAAGAACATTTTGGTGGATTGCTAACGATGTATTCACTGGTCGCGCCTGTTTTCTACCATTCCATGAATAAACATATAGTGACTACAAAACAGTTTTCATAAAACTTCTTTGATTCGACATCCGTTTGAGTCTGCACTTCCATGAAAGCACAGGCTTAGAACCTTAAAATGTGCTCTACACATCATCGAATGTTTGTTATGGAGAGGAAGAACTGCACTCGGAAAGCTTTCTGGTAGGTAGAAAATCTGGGTTGGTCAATTGCTCTTACTGCAGACGAGCACGTAGACTATTACTCATCCGAGGATGTAACAAGTGATGCATAGTAGTGGCACAAATGAAAAAGATAACCAACTCAATTCAGAGAAATGGATACGATAGGTCTGGTCCGGAAATGCGTTGTGCACGGTCGACTGCTTCTGCACGACTGCCGCGCAACCAATCGCCGTAACATACGATCGGTTGGTTGAGAGCTTAACCATGGAAACCATCGTCTGGACAGAAATATGCGCGCAAAGACAAACAATCGATCACATGCAACTTACCAAAACGGTCGGAGTGACTACAATATGCGCAAGTTTAGTGTGATTACCATAGGCGCTCATCCATCGTCGTTCTACAACCCGAACAACCTTATCGCTCCACTGATAGACTGCATGGGAACTGTGAAAAGAGACCATTAAGCAGCGAATCTTAATGATATAATAAAGGACAGTTTAAAATTTTCGATTTGTTTATCAATTTAACTTGACGCTCCATAAAAGGAGCATCATCACACACAAAACCTGTTTGCAGCATTACCGAGAAAATGTTGCATAACGTAAACAATAAACTACTAAAGGATGACAGTTTGCTCTTGGAAAGGTTGTCAGTGGATTCACTCATAATCATAAATCGTTGGTTACAGCTGAGTTCGAAATCAGTTACGGACCACAAAACGGAAAATTTACAACGGACAGCACAAGAATTTCAGATGGGCCTAATTCATGTTGATCGCACGGGAACAGACAGTAAGCATAGCTAATGAGTTGGACACATCCAAAATGATGAATAAAGTTCGATCCTTCAGCAGCGTGATTTAGAAAACCGTACGACTTTATTGCGTGTCGAATTCAATCACAGAAATCCCAGTAAAAAGGCGTAAAGTCAAGTGCCCATAAACCGGATGTTTTAGACAGCACGACAAATGGACACGCGACATCACCAAGAGGTTCGAATGTGCATTCTTCAACCAGGTTGTAAACCACCGAAAAAAGATCCTCATTTAAGTTTCTGGCATGGGCCACAAGCTGGGTACACTTCGCAGCACCAAGGGAAATTGGCGTCGCCCCATTAAAGCAATTTCGCCTTAGAAAATTATTTACATAGTTTACTTTAGGCAAATGAGGTAAACTTGTACTTACTAGGTCAAGTGTGAACCAGTACAAATGTAGCATAAAGAGATAAGGAAGTTGAGACAATTGTTCAAATGAGTTTGCGTTAGCTATCTGTAAAAATCACTGAGAAAAGCGTTTGTTGTGCTACAAAAAAGATAGACCATTGAAAGTTAAGTCAAACAAGACGATTAAATCCGAGATTCTAGCCAATTGTTGAGCTCGTGATAGCTCTGATCGGAAAGTCTGTGATTTGAACCCAACTTTTGCATCTTAACTGCTCCTGTCTATGCTTGGGCAGTCTGGCAGCACCTCAACTCTCGTGCTTCCTTCAGGTGGCATGACAACTAAGCACCAAAAGTGTGTCGGAGATAAACTATTATTTTTGTCCCCTATACTCATGCATTACTGGCCTCATTGTTAAAGTCTCGCGGCGAAAATCAACTGGTGTAGGTGTATCACACTGGTACTGGGCCCGGCTATTCACAATTCGACAGGAAATACAGGAATTTTAGCTGACCAGCATCACTCCGAAGAGTGAACAAACAGGTGCAACTACTCTCCCCACACAGCACTGCGCGTCTTATGGTCCCTTGCTTTGTGAGTCTCAGAGTGTATATCAATGTTTCAGTGTAAAATGAAGTTGAACTCTTGACTCTAATGTTCGTAGCTAAAAGTAATGCGATGTTGTCAAACTTTTAGAGGTTCCAGAGATTCTCATTATTAAAGTTCGCGGAGAAAGCGTACAGTTCCACATGGGGGATGCTGATAAAAAGAGTCAACTTCAAGAATTTCTGTACCATTATTGACGAATAAGGCTGGTGCGATGCGTTAGGAATCAGACCAGAATCTAGCCTTCGGAATACGTTTGGGAAATGTAATAAAGTGCATGGTTGGTGCATGGGGCATAGCAAGTGAAACAGACACATCTAACTGTAACACACGTGCATTACTTATGCGCTAGGAAATAAGATGTGGCTGGCTTGAAATTGCCACCCGAAAGTAGTCTTCTCAGCCTAAATCTCTGTGAGAAAAAAACATGAAATACATTCGGTAGCATTAGTGACAGTAATCGTCCCTTCTATAAAGCTCACCCAATCTTCGCCAGACCCAAAGCGGGCAGTTGTGTAGTTGGGTCTCGCGGAGTTAATGGTCTGTTCTGGTGGTCGCGATACATAGCAAACAGGCTGCTGGAGAATCCCTAAAAGTGGAAACGGAATGGTGAAATTCCCATAAAACGAATCGAGCTAAAAAAAACTGGTCTATTCTGGGACCCACCAAGGCATGTAGCAGCTCGTGCTTCGTCACGAACAGAGAACGCACACGATCACTCACACGAGACCCCAAGGTATTTGGACAAAAGTTGATGTATCCAGCAATCGGTCTGTAGAAACGTACAAAATAGGGGAAGTTTTGACTGAGAACCTTATGTGATTAGACGGACAGCTGACTGACTACTTTTATTATAATGAAAAGGCAGAAAACACATGACTCTTAATCATCTGGCTGAAACATCACCTGAGACAGAGACAGAACATAGTGACCAAAACAATTCCATGTTTGGTCATCGCAGAAAGAACCTGTATGTCAACGTTCTCTCATCTACTTTTGAGTCGGATACCGCCCCAGAAATCAGTCTATCAATTTTTTACCTATTCGAGCTCCATTTATCCCATCTTTGTATGTGAAGGACTGACAGCAAATTCATTGTCACCGCATTCCTCTACGTGTTTTAGCTCATTACTGTAAGGTGATTTCCCCCCTTATACCCAATCTCCACATAATCATCAAAATTTAACAGTTTATACTGGTCATAACCAAGACGAAAGGGAAAACAGTAGGTATCTGAACTGAGTAGATGCGTATAACCAACTGTAGTCTGAATTGATCGGGTGGACCGGATCCGCTATGGCTACAGATGTCAGTACTCAATCTTCTGCTAAAATTGCCATCATGAACTACCGTGCAATCAACTAGGGAGCAAGACAGCGATTGACTCAGTGTTGGAACGTAGCTACGAAGAAATGTAAATTAGATACGATGTGCCACATGTCGCTGTTCGTGTCCAATGTGGGTGAGAGGGTTGTCGAACATGACTAATAAGGAGTACTCAACAGTAAATCAACCGTTATTTCGAGGCTATGAGGATGAAACGCACAATCACGTGTTCGAACAAGGTACTGATGAACACTCACCTATCTGTCTGAGAAGCCAGTTGGCAATGGGCCGCATAACCCAAGACTTTACCTGTGTGACACCGGGCAGTGGGTAGCGAGGCGATGTATAGGATAAAATCTGTATCTTTTAAGCCGTGCCCTTGGTTACCAGATAGTATATGCGAACCATTCTTTATGTATCGACATTTCTGAAAGGAGAGGCAGGCGGATGGGCAGATAGCTGAGTTAATGAGTATTTACGCTCAAGTGTTCTTCAGGGATTGCCAACGGACCGCATTTAGTGACGTCGTGACAGCCATTAACACAAAAAGTGAGCAATTGTTGATTCAATGTGCGAAGTTTCGTAAGACCACCCAGACAGGACCTGTCGTACAGAAGGGATCTAGCAAAACATTATAAAATTCACCTGTCTAGAAGCAGTTTCGATTTTGTTGAGTGAAAGCGCAACCGCAAGGCACTTTGCCAAAACTGAACTGCCACGTTTAATACATTTGTCTTTGGATGCGACAAAATGTTTATTAGAAGGAGATTACCTTAATCTCATCAAAATCACTCAGTAGTCGTACTGACTCGTCATAATGTACGTGTATACGCAGTGAGCTAGGTGACAACTGCCGCAAGAACCTCCGCTTGGGATACACAGCGACTCGAGTAATGACCGAAGAAACAGGTGGTACCTCATGCTTGCACCGGATGGCTGATGACTGAGTAGTTTGAAAAGTAATGTAAATGAACACGGCAGCAAAGAAACCAATCCTGGATAGCAAGAAAGTCATCGGGTCTTTCAAGTCTGTCGACTCCAATTCCGGTATCGCATCCTGTCAACCCCCACAAGCATGAAATAAGTGTGCATCATCCTTGTTTACCAGAACAGATAACGGTGAAGACCAACAAAACGGGGGCCGGAGTGAAATGTGTCGACACTCTAGGGGGGAACAGTCACCAGAGACACCCAATCGCCGTTATTGCTGTAATAGAGAAAGTATGATCATAAAGTAGCTTTGAAGTATGACGGAGAATATAGCGACATAGTTTGGCGTCAAAACGATTCTGCCTCGAATGACACAAACGAGATCAATAATATCATCAAACTCCGCGAGTGCCCCGCTTTGAGGCCGTCAACCTAAAAAATAAAAATCGCTAAGCTGTAACACCCTTCCGCTGCCTAGCTGCCATGCTACCCGAAGGAAACACGAGGGCTCGGATACTGCCAGGTTGCCCAAGCCTAGACGGGGGAAGTCAAGATGCAGAGGTCGGGTTCGAACCACGGGCCTTCCGGTCACTAAATTCGCGCTCTAACTACCTGAGACATCTCGCCGTCAACCTAGAACACAATTATTGTCCTCAACTGGAAATGCAAAAGACGCAAGCCCAGTCTACCTAGTAGTTGTTGCGTTATCCAACTCTCCACAATCCATCAGGTGCTAGAGCAACGCCTTACGTATGAGCGACCCGTAATTCTGATGTATCTGGATTTCCAAGGCGCATATCACTCAGCTGACCTATCCATCCTCCTTAACACGTGTTCGGTAGAGTGACACGGAAGTTCATGAATATAACAAGTTCCTTGCACTCTCAAACTTCCTGGCATGCAAGAAAATACGGAGAGCTCTTCAAAGGCTTTCGTACACAAAATGGTGTCTGTCAAGAATGACCTATCGCTCCACTCCTTTTCATCACCAAAGACAGCAACATCAAAGTCGATAATGATGCTTCGTCCAGCTATAGCACCTTTTCGGTGCCTAACTGCCGTGCCACCAGGTGGCACGAGAGCTGGGATACTGCCAGGTTGCCCAAGCCTAGACAGGGGAAGTCGAGAGGCAGAGGTCGGGTTCGAACCACAGACCTTCCGGTCAATAAACTCGCGCTCTAACTACTGAGCCATCTCGCCCCACTGATGCTTCACTGCCATACATTCCCACTTTATTTTATGATTAACGAGAAAATGAAAACGCTGGAAGGTCTTCAAAACCCTGGTGCTTGTATTTGAAAAGGGGGTGCAGATGTTTTTGGATAAACTGACCAAGGTCATCCGGTACTTTGGTATGCACTTTGCACCCTCAAAGTGTAAGGTCACGCACCTAGACATGCAGTCACTGAACACGCCACTTACAATCCAGGGAGAGGCAACCGAATTCGTGAAACGCTTGGAATATCTTGGGAGTTGTATTAGTTCCGGTTCCAGTGCGAGGGATGAAGTCAATGTATGAAACCCTAAGGGTCGCGTCGCGTTTTCTAATTTAAAACCCCCGTTGGCGACAGAGCGGCATATCCTTAAATCTCAAAGGAAGTGCGTACCAGGCTACAGTAGGAGTCCTTTTCTTGTTTGGCACTAAGACTTGGCCTGTTTGAGCAGCAGAAGTGAGATTTATTCAGTTTTCCGGAAGCCGTTGTCTAAGAGCTACGGTTCGTGTAGCCTGAAATCGGCGAATACGCAGCCAGGCAACTAGATACGAGTTTCCAGTTGTGCAGAGGACATTTCAATTGAAGGTGTCCAGCACCGAAAGCTGAGGTGATTTGGTAATGTATTGTGCACGCCAAACCATCGCTTGCCGAAAAGGATGTTGTTGTCCGTGCCCAAATTAGAGTGATGCAAGTCTACAGGTCTAAAGAAATACAGTATAAGCGGAAACATGTCAAGGATGAGGACTCTTGGGGATTTCTCAGCAAATCTGGGTGGATACCGATGAGAGAAATCTCAAGTGGTAGAAGTGTGTAGGCGCAATTATGACGGAAATTGTTATGAGGATTCGATTAGAGAATCCAAGCGAGGTGGACGTAGACATCTTTTATCGGGGAATTCCATCGGGTTGTGCATCGCCCTCTATGACGCAAGTAGAGAAAATCACGATTGCAACGAACAACTATGGCCAAGATACTGCCAATTCGCCCAAGTCTAAATGGGAGCAGTAGCAATGCCGAAGTTGGATGCAAACCGTGGACTTTGCGTTCAGTAAGTTCACGCCTTCACCGGTGAGTCATTTCACCCTGAAAGATTAGAAAGTATGAATTCTTCATGAACCCACATTATGACGGGCTACGATTCCAGTTACCCATTTGTTCCATCATGGTGTAAGGTACACATGTGAGACTGACAGGCCAATAATTATACTGACTACTTTCAAATGGATAGAGATTACTCGAACAAAGCAGGCGGTGGCGAAGGAGTATGTTAGACACTGAAAATACCCAAGGTCAGTAAACACCGGAAGAGAAAAAAAGAATTTTCATGACCGATGTAGCTTAGTTGAGGCACAATTAAAGTTTGTGGCTTCGTAACACGGAGCAGTGGATTATGGGGTCATAGCTATTGGAGCTTGATAACCGAGGTTGACAGAATGACGTTGGCCGTTCCGCCTAAAATGGTTTAGTCAATCATCGGATTAGTCTAGTGATCCAAGGACTTGACTCGCCTGTTGTAGAGTTCAAAATCGGTCTTCCAGAGTTTTAAAATTGGTGTGGGCCGGACCGAATCGGCTAGCAAAGCTGCACATCGGTCACCGCGTGAATGCTCGTCCCGATTGGAGATGAAACAACAGCACGACCTATCAACCCTGATGCCTCGGTGGAAATTGAATCCAGAAAGGACTGATGTTGCTGATCCTCGAAGTGCGTGTGTTCGTTGCTGATTTTGGTCACCTAACTGTTTATGAGCCCCAAAAATAACTTTCACTGCAGTGAAACCAAATCAGCATGGGTGAACTGCTTGATTGAATCTTGTTAGTTTGAATTAACAGCGTGATGTGACTAGATCGGTCATCCTGGCTTGTGGAAAACCGGACTCAAGTTTCGTCGGTGCTATGTGGGCTCCGAAAGAGGATGTCAGGCGACACAAGTTTACTAGCTTGAAAGAGTCCAGTGGTTATGGTCACGGCTTACTGTCAGGAAGATCCATGGCTAGAACCCAACTTCTGCATCTCGACAGCTCCCGTATAGGATTGAGCAACTGGCAGTAAATAAGCTCCCGTGTTTCCTTTGGGTGACATGTCCGCTAGGCACCGAAAGTGTTACAGCTGAGCAGCAAAGTAATTGATTGACGGTTTTTGGTGAGAGCAGAAAACACTGGATCATCTGTTACAGTGTATTACAACATCGTCGTGTTTGGATGTCGCCCTACCAAATTTGATCAGGTGACAGAAACTAACATAAATTACACTGCCTCATTATTCTTTGTTTCAATCATGCCAGTTATGTCCCGCCTGAGCAGTTCTGTGAGTGGTACCAGCTCTAGTTTTCGGATGATACTCCTTATGTTAGTATACACGGTTCTGGCACAACTCACGGCTGAAGTAAGGGACCAATGAGTCATCCTGAGCCGTGACACTATCTAGAAATTTCTTACGGTGAGGGTAGTTTCTCCACTCTGGGACCTTTTTCTAGATATTCGACCATATCTCCCCCGACCTTCTAGATTTCAATATGACAAAAGACGATTCTCCGTTCAAGTTGTAGAATCACTTAAGCATGCGCTGAGTCACCGGGATCAGTGAAAACCATTCCAAAAGGTCCGCGATAAGTCCTGTGTGCGGCTGCAAGGAAACTTCACATAAGTGCTTTCGGGCTCATACTCTGTTAACCGGGACCCCATAATTTTCCCAGAGAATTCTACATCATCGATATCGGTCAGCGGAAGGCGGATTGTTCGATAAGATAAAAGGCACTAGCCAACACTCCAAGATGTTTCTGTTTATGACTGTTTATGACCCGTGGTGGTCGCACTTGCATGAAGTTGCAGGCTCTGCTTTTTAGTCGCCCTACTTTCCAGCGCCGAGTATGAATACCAGTACTGGAGATACTTGACTCTTATTGCAACCTATAAATAGCGCACATTTTTGAACGTGTGGGGGTGTGAAATGCAGACATCTGATATGCGAGGCAAGTGTTACATTCACTCAACCAGCAAAAGACTCATTGCTCCACGTCTGTACGCGATATTCACAGTGAAGCCAGCCATCGCGTATATTTTCAATTCGTCCCATGTATGCACAGTTTGCTTACCATAAAACATTGCAAGCGGTGTGGGAAACGAATTCAAGCTAGTCGAGTCACGGTGGATTTCTGTACCGTGAGCAGACAATGTGTAAGCTCCAACAAGGAATATCACTATTACCACAACTTTTCGGCTCTTCATGTTTGTAACCTATGAGGAGTTCGTGAAAGGCTCCGTAGGATTTTATGAGTCTTAATTTGGTTTATATGCACTGCGACAGCGTTTTCAAGTGTTTACTCCAGTCGCTCTCCGTCTCTGCGTAAAGTGTAACGTCTTTTTAAATATAATCCCCGGTGACTTACAAGGTCTCTACATGCATGTGATGAGTGTTCCCGACACAAATCAGTGATACCTAAAGCGCCATTTGGCGAATATGTATAACTATACAGTCTCAATGAGGTATTTATCGTGCAGGTCCAATTAGTATGTGACGAACTAACAAGAAATTGTTTACGAGGTTGTGGTAATAGCATCAGCACCAACCAGTGCTGACACCTTTTGATTAACGTCGTCGAACCGGTGGCTGGGTGTGAAAAATCCTATAAATTAGGCTACATAAATCGGGAACATCGTTGTGTGGCACTTGATCGTCGGCCCACTTTTTAAGGTGACCGGTTGTGTGTATCCACAAGCCAGGCGCAACGACTACGCAACGGAACCACCGTGGGACGGGTTCTCAGAAGTTGAGGGATTCATGAGAACTTCCATGGGAACAAAAGATTGGAAATCTATGCGTTCCGAAGCTGATTAAGCGATGCGAAATTAACCAACAGCGTTGACCCTGTA